TGCATGGAGGAAGAGGAAACAGCGTCACACGTCTTACAGCACTGCCAAGCGGTGACTGAATACAGGGTTAGGTATCTTGGCTCGCTGAGATCGCTCCCGGAGATCACCAGCAATATTAAGGGTCTGCTGGGGTTCTTCGGTGAGCTGGGTTGGCTGGAGTAATCCATGTCTTATTCTCACGCAAAATACGCGCTAGTCGTGGAGTTGCGGAAACCGTAGCCCCTACTACTACTACTACTACTACTACCTTCTCTACTACGGGGGTACTCTCAAACTTCCTCTAATATACTCATTTCGTATCTTATCCATTCGTTACCCCACACATCCATCTTAACATTCGCATTTCTGTCACATGTTGTCTCCTTTCAATTCATTCACTATTTGAAAGGTAATTTATCTGTAACTTAGGCTATAACTGTTATTATTTTAATTTCACACAGACAAAGTTGAGAGTAACAGCTAGTTTGGAATATTAAAGGTTTAAGAACTAAAAATAAGACTTTTTATTGGAATTTTTAATGAATTTGCACTTCATAAAGTACAAAATTAACTGTATTTTCTTTCTAACAGATTTCTTTTATTTATGACTTGCTTTGTTTGTCATGTTATGCGACGAAATGGGGACATAAACCAGAAAGTGTTAAGATTGAATGTGGATGACTACAAAGGGAGAGGAAGACCGAAAAAAGTATGGAATGTGTGAAAGAGGATATGCTTAAAGGAGTGGATTTAGATATGGCCGATAGAGATGTATGGAGCAGCACTTACTGTGCCGACCCTCCGTAAGGAATAAGGGCAAGTTGATGATGATAGATTGCTTTGTTTGTCTTTTTTTTAACATCTTAAGTTAGAAATACCTTTTTGTAATAACCAAAATTAATTGGTAAATGTTAATTGTAGTTTAATTTTGCATAAATTAAAGATCTTGTTTATATAATAAAAAGTGATTGATAGATTTCAGTGGAGGTAGATAATTAGTTCAAATTACAATTATTTTATTGCAATACATTTCAATACTTCCTTGTTATAATCAATCTTATAATAGTAAATTCGATAAATCATTGTAAATATATATACAATCAAACAAACAAGTTTTCTGATAGGACAAGAGAAAGTATGAATCATAAAAATGGTTCAACAATCAATTCAAGACTCATCCTTAGTGATAAACTAAAGTACCATTTAAACTAAAGGATATAACAGAAACTTATTACATTTATATTACTTTTTATTTCAGTAAGAAACTTTTATATCAAGAAACAAAAAGCTCCTTCACTTAAACTATTTTATTAAAATTACTTGACATCGATAGAAATTTAAAGAGATTCTTGATGACCTTACCTTAATAAATCGATAATCCTTTACGAATACGTAGAAATAAACAATTATATCACTGAATTAAATGCTTTAATCACGGTTATTAACTTTATTTTGTAAAAAATAACACAAGAAAGCAATAAAAACACTCAACCGTATCAATAAGGTGTGTCAAAGTGAGACGATGTTGCCAGTGCACGAAATCAAGGACAAGAAAAATAAATGTTACCATTTTCTTACTTTAATCTAATTCATTTTGTTTATTTCAGAATTACTGAACTGTGTTCATAACAAGTTTATTTTAAGCAACATAAAAGTAATTGAAAGAAAAGAATCTTACATAAAAAATGGAACGTCAAAATCACATGGTTAGGCTACCTTACAATCACCCTATTTCATATTTAAAACGGAAATGTCGTTTTGTGAAAACCGCGAGGTAAAGTTAATTGTTTGATATTAATAGTTAATTCAAGATCATTTACTTAATTTTTTATTTTTTCCCAATAGTTGCCTAAAAGTTGGATACATGTATTTTAAATTAAACATGTAGATATTCCTGTGTCGAATTCTTTAACTTAAGACACAAGTACAGGAGTGTAAATATCGCAAAGTTGCGAAGCATACGGTAATTGCAGTTTAAACAGACGCGGAATAACAAGTAAAATAGCAACACCAAAGGCGTAACTTCCCGAGAACGCGAGTAAACAACATGGCGGCGGCGATGGTTTATTCAAACTAATTTGTCGGCGGACTCTAAGTATATGTAAAATTATTAACAAACACGACATCCGTTCAGGAATGAACTATGCAAATAATTTTATCCTGTATTTGCGGAACAAATTGATGTTTCTCACAGAAATATGTCTGGTTCTGTTGCAAAACGGGACTAGTGTTTGTTGTTTTAACTTTCAAGGAACTTATTGAAAAATACATGACTGAATCATACGTTTGTTGTTATCTTATAACATGCCAAGTCAGATTAAAAGCTAACAAATTCAAGCATTACTTAGATAGAAAAAACCTTAATTTAGTTAACCAAAGAATGTTTATTAATCTACATTTTTATTTGTTTACTGAATTTTGTAGTTGTTGTAATAAGTCGCTAGATGGCACTGTAACAAAACGAATGTGGTCCGGATCGATTAAAAATAAGCCCATAATAAAATAAAAATAAAAAACATATCGTAAAACTACGATACATTGTGTTTTAAATGTCTATCTATCATTCCGTTTAAAATGTAGGTATTATATAAAAAATCGTCTTTTTGTGTCCCAATGTTTTGTGTACATTTTTAACACAGCTGGTTATCAATTTTGTATGTTTTTAATAATAGCTCGTTTTACCGGAAACATATTTAAACGCTTTTATTAAATCACATTTATTTAACTCTTTAAACAAACAATACAATAATCATTTTAGGTTATATTATTACTCTTGAGCTAGAAAGAGATAGATAGCTATAATTTACATTACGTCATTGATCGTGATTTTTGACCTTAACATTCGTACACCGCGAAGAATACGAAAGTAGGAGAGAATTATGAAAACTTTCGATAAAATATCGAACGATTCGAAAAAAATGTAATCTGTAGCTACTCGATATTATTTAAAGTCCTCATAACGTGTACTTACGAAATATTCAATATAACATTCGCGCATCGGGAATAAGAATATTCTTCTGTTGAACGTGCCAACTGATGATTGTATCCTTTTGCTTTTTTGTACATTACACGCCGGAAATATGACCCAGAATATTCGTTAGGCAATAAACAATGATGGTAGATGCAAGATACAAAATAAGTATGGTAATAAAATTGTTGGCCTTGAAGAGGTGTTAAGTATAACTGGTGGTTCAAATTTATTTATCTATACATATAATAAAATTAGACTGTCTTTTTGTAATAAGGAAAATTCCAGATTTCGGGAAGATGATGTTTTTGCGTTACAGATAACGGAAACGACATTTAAAAAATCTGGTCTATCTGTCTTTCCGCAAAGCTTATAATACAAGATTATTTATGGACTTTAAATTGACATAAATGGATTTTATAGTAAATAAATTATTAATTCAATTAAAACGTTAATTGGGTAATTCTAAATTCAATAATTATTAAACTGTAGTTTTCTAATAGTTTTAAATGACACAATAGAAGTAACGTAATAAAAACAGTCTCTTTTTACACTTCTTTGTTAGTTGCAAGTCAGTACTACCGTTTTACTGCTTTGATTTTTTTAACGCCGCTACAGACAAAGGTAAAATGAAAAGGATTAAGAGATGAAAAATAAATAGATTCTCAGTAAGCAATTAAAGCGATTAATATTTGTGTAATGATGTGTAAATATCTTTAACTGATTTTGAAAAAAGTATAATCTTTTTTTAAGAGCCCACAATAATGCTCGAAGTTAAGCAAAAGCAAATACATCTCCGAAACCCGAGGAACTTTTGTTGAAGCTGAAAAACTAATGTCAAATTATAAAGTTTATTGCAAGTCATTGGTTTTGTCTTGTTCAAGAGACTTTCAAAGGAAAAACTCTTTTAAGTAAATTGTTTTCTACAGTCACAAGAGATGAATTTTAACGTGAGCCAATACACCAAAGAGAATTATATCTACCGACTAGAAGAGGTTTTCAATTGCTCTGTTGCTGCACTCTAGGTAAACTGATTTTGAGAGCGTTAGCGTTATTTATTGTCAATTGTCTCATAGCCAAGTCAACTGCTAAGTTACAAAACTAAAAATCGAGTAGTGTGTGCACCTCCATATAACCTCATAGAAATCAAAGTGAGACTAAAGAGTTATGCGATAGTTTAGTCAAAGGTGTTGTCTAACAGTTATTTTTTATTTGAGAGATGGAGCTTTTGTGTATTCTTTAAGATTAGGCATGTAATTTAATTTTTGCCTTATTTAAACATCTGTGGCGTTTTCACTTCATCTAGTATAATGGACAGTACAGTCTTGTGCCTGTAGAATTTAGTCAATATTATAGGAATCAACAATACAAAGAGATCAGGTAGTTGTCGGTAGGATTGGTTGCAAGAAATTCTCACAGTTTGTCTCCCAGATGTGGTCGGAATTGATAAATTGGTGCTATTAAAGAATATTTAGTACATTAATAGAAATGTGTAGGTACACGATCAATGGAATTTTATAATAATTCACAAGAAGTAAAGAAAACAATTAACCATGTTTTTGTTTTAGTTTAAACAGAACTGAGAAACTTCTATTTAAAAATGAATTTATTCAAATTATAAATTACATTAAGTAAAATGCTAATGCTTGTAACAGTTAAGAAAATATCTAAAACTAGCTTTTGCACGAGAATCCGTCCGCGTGAAATTTAAAAATAACGATAGATACATGAAAAAATATAGTCTATGTCACTCACAGATAAATTACCTTTCTAACAGTGAAGGTATTTTAAAAATCGGCTCAGTAGTTTTTGGGCCTATTCATTAGAATCATACAAAGTTTTCCTCTTTATAACATTAATATAGACTAACTATAACTTCACTTCCTCTATGTGAAATTAAAGTAAAATCTAGTAACAAATATATGCTATGTCTTTTAGTGATAACCTATCTTTCTGATGGAGAAAACATTTTGGTAATCGGTTCAACAGTTTTTAGTTCATACGTTAAATAAAAATATAATCTATCCTATTTAAAATATTAGGAAAGATTGGCCACAGCCTATAATATCAAGCTTTATTGCTTTTTATATCAAGTTGTTCTAATCGAAAAAGTGGTATGAAATTGACAGTCAAAGGGAAGTGTTGCCTTCGCTTCATATACAATAGATTGACAATGAAAAATAGTCACGCATACCCTAAATAAAAATAACAACCGACAAAAGCAGGTTGTCCAAATGACATAATATAAAGGTCCAATATATTGGTCTTAGGGTATCAGGTTGCTTTCCCAACCCACGGGGTGGGCGTATTACCTGGTTTTTTCATTATAAAATGTTCATTTTGCAATTTTTACATGTGTAAGAATCGATTATGACTATCCCCTATGGGTTGACTTGAAGCTAGGAGAAAAAACTTGGTTAGAACTTCGAAGGATTTCAATACTCTGTTTGACAAAGACGAGAAACAAAAGATGATCGGAATGATACCCTTCCTTGAAAAACAAGATTTCGTGACATTTGACTCATTAAAACTTTTTTAGCGACCATCTTACACTCTCATTGACTCGAGTTTTTCAAAGAAAAAAGCATGCTTAAAACACAATTAAATAAAATAATGTTTGATCTATTTAGATAATTATTTACACGCACATTTACTTGACTCATGTTAATTTGACTTGAGAATTTTCTTAAACAATTCATGTTACTTTAACACACCTTAAATTAACTAATTTGTGAATTAAAATAACCACCCTTATATGCATTCTTTAAATCAAGAATATCAAAATTAATGTTTGCATAAATGTCCACATTCGATAAAAAGACGAACGACACATTAATAGGTACCGTTAAATAAAATTAAGCATTATAAAATCTTGACAACAAACTGGTTTCGGAACGAACTGCGCCAAAATGGCGGACACGCTTCCCGCCAAAATCAGCTGTTTAACGTGAGAGAATGCATCTTATTTGAAAATTTCGCTTCTTAAATGCAAATAAAAAATACTTCTGCTTTTCTATTGTTAACTTTACAAGTTTTAAGTGACAATGGCAATTATCAGTAAGTATTTTGTAATTTCTATGACCGGTTGACGTTCGGAGGCCCGATTTGGCGGGAATCAGCTGTGACAAGCAAACACGTTCGACTGGTGGCTGTACCATGAAACTCATCTTATCGTTAACGTTTTCGTTACTAAGGAATAAAATTAAAATATCTGTCTGTAAATTTAATCGTACTGTTAAACCAGTATCCAATTTATAACATAATTTTAAACAATGAAACTGATTCAATTTATGTAGTTTTATATTTGTCAACTGAAACCTCGAATTAAATAATCTTTTATTAGATTATCAAGTTTAAAGTAATGTATGTTTTCTCTTTAATTTAAAATGGTTTCTTTTATTTGTTTTTAGCTAAAGTTTTATTGTAAAGTGTGTTTGCTAATGTCATGATAAAACGATAACTAAACGATACATATTGCAATTGAGTACATTGGTAGAGGGGCGCCTCAGCCGGGCAAATCAGCTGACCAGAGATGGTTTTTTGTGA